AGGTCTTTTCCACGTCGCCAGTTTGTGTTCTCTCTGTAGCAGTCATGCTGGAGGCTTACCATATTTGTCTTCACAGAAGTACCTGGTGTTGACTCGCCTATATTTTTCTGCTATATTGCTACCTGCTGTCATTGTTCTAAGATCAGACATACAGGGAGGAGAAGACACAGAACATCTTCCGTCTATTGATTCACTCCCCAAGCAGCCACAATGGCTGGAGCTGTGTGTGCCAATCCGAAGCAAGGAGCCCAGAGACTCTTCCAGGTCTGCCAGATGGGTGCAGGGACCCCAAGGTTTGGGAAGTCCTCGACTGCTTACCCAGGCCAAAGGCAGGAAGAAGAAGGGGAAGTAGGGCCACCGGGATCAAACCAGCACCTATATGGGATCCCGGCATGTGCAAGGAGAGGACATTAGCTGCTAGGCTATCATACCGGGCCCTGCTTTCAGTTTTATTTGCATCCTTCCACTTGCTTGGAATTTTTCCTAACTTTTAAAATTAAAGCTGCTTACTATTTTTGTTGATAACTGGTATATTTATGGGATACACTGTTTACACTGAGTTGTGTTAAGGATATGTTAGTTAACAAATCTATTATCCCATGTACTTTTAAGATTTTGGAGATATAAATTTACTTACTAAATTGAAACTAATTTTCTGATGTGTTCAATAATTTCCTTTTGGTGTCTTGACCCATTCAATAGTGTCCTTAAAGTTTTCAACTACTTGGAGATTTTCCTATTACTGTATTCTTTCTTTCCATTTGATTTTGGTTTAATTTCCCCCTTTTCAGTAACTAAGATTAAAGCTGAGGACACTGATTTGAGATTTTTTTTTCCTAAGTGTTCAATGCTGTAAATGTCCTGTAAATCTTTATTTTCATTCATTTAAAATATTTTGGGGACAAGTGCAGTAGCTTAGCAGCTTAAGTCCTCACCTTGCACACACCAGGATCCCATCTGGGTGCTGGTTCTGATCCCAGCAGCCCCACTTCCCATCCAGATCCCTGCCTGTGGCCTGGGAAAGCAGTCAAGGACAGCCCAAAGCCTTGGGACCCTACACCTGTGTTGGGACACCTGGAAGAGGCTCCTGGTTTCAGATTGGCTCAGCTCTGGCCATTGTGGCCACTTGGGGAGTGAATCGGTGGATGGAAGGTCTTCCTCTCTCTCTCTCTCTGTATATGTGACTTTCCAATTAAAATTTTAAAAATTAAGAAAAATTTTAAAAATATTTTGCATTTTTCCAGGAGTCCTATTTACACTCTTGATGATTATTTAATTTCCAATAGTTTCAAGGTTTTTGTTTCCAGATTCGTTTAATTATACAATTGTTATGGTCTGAGAACATCTCCAGTATAGTGTTGTTTGTGTTGGGTTAAGGCCTGTTTTAGGATCCAGGCTATGCTCTCTACACTGCCTCCTGTGCAACAGGTCCGCTCCTTTGCTAGTACGGGATGCTGATGTTTCCACAGCACATTGTGGTCAGGGGCAGGAAGCTACAGCCTCTTCCAGGGAACCTAGAGCAAAGCATAAGATTCAAAACGGCTCTGCCCCGGATCTGTGCTTTCCACTAGGTCCTCTAGATACACAGAAGGCTTCTCTTTGGCAATTTTGTTTGTTGCTGCGTATTATTTCCAAATGGCTGCTTTATGGTGGATGGGATACACTGAAGATACCAAACATGAAAAGTGGTGGGATTCATGCCTGGTTCATGGCTTGTGTCCTGATGTGCCTACTTAGTCTGCCGCCTTCTCCAGTTGCCTGATGGCTGCCTTTTAATCCATACTCTTGTAATCAGGAAAAATGTGGAATGCACATTGTTGCTGTCCCGCAGCAATGGACTTGTTGCACGGAGCCGATAATAACACACGTGGATCCTGACTGTTGGTCAAAGCCGAAGTTTTTTAGTGGCATCAGACTTTATACACTGAGGGTCATAAGGGAGGAAGTATTGAGCTCACCAACAAAACCCAGTAACTGTTTCTATGCTTTTGTTTGGAACTCCTTTTGTCTTGTATATTCCACCAAGTGTTCTCATACACATGCTGTCCACTCAACTGTTTTTGTACAAATGACATCCAATCAGGTATACAAAAGGCACCCATTCAGTTGTTTATCATACAAATATTGTCCAATCAACCGTAATCCTGTGCTCCCTGACCTTCTAGGGTCACAATGTCCTCCTTCAGCACATCACTGTCTCTGGTCTCCATCTAAGTTTCCATTCTGAAGGTTTATTGGATTTTAAAGATACTTCCGTGCCTTGTTGGGTGTGTAAATTTCTCTGGAAAGGTACCTGTTTTTTCTTTTTAGCACAGACCCAATATATAATGCATGTATCTGTTTAAGACATGGAAACATTCTCCAGTCTGCTGGTTAATTTCACTCACCAAATGGCCATGACAGCCTTGTCTGGCCACGCTGAAACCAAGGGCCAGGAATTCCAGGTGGGTCTCCCACAGGGGTAGCAGTCTGGTGCTTTCACAGGCACATTAGCAGGAGGCTGGATCAGGAGTGGAGCGCTCAGGACATGAACCTCTGCACTATGGGGATGCCAGGGTGACATTTTGTAATGCTGGTCCACTTAGACTGCTTTCTCAGTTTTGTATCATGTTGGTCTTCTATGAGTAAATCATCTTTTATATTTATCTCGGTTCTTTGAGCTTGTTTTATGGTTGGTATTTGTCATGAAATTCAGACAGGGGGTTCTAGCTATGATTTTATGAGTTTGTTTTGTACTTAATCCCTCTCGTTTCTCCTCGGTTTTAATGTTTCTCTGAATCTACTTTTCCTCTCCAGGTAAACTGGGTTTTGTGACAGATAGCTCTAAATTTAGTTTTTGTGGTTTTTTACTGTTTCATAGGCTCTAGTCTCCCCTTCCCAAATTGCCTCCCCCACTGACTTCCTCTGTGTTACAACATATAGTCCTTCATAAACAGTCATAAGGCTATTATGCTGCTATTGAAGCTTATTCTGACATGGTAGGTATAAACAGTGGCAGAGTCCAAGGGACTTGAAAGTTCTAAGGAAAAATATTACATTGCATGGTTAACTGTTACACGTTTTCTTGAAGTTTTTTTGAAGATGTAATCTTGCACCAAAATCAAATCAATGGACTGATATTGTGGTCTAACAGATTAACCTGCAACCCTGAGACAATGTCATTGCTTATGAGCACCAGTTCATATTCTGGCTGCCTGGCTTCCAGTCCAGCTCCCTGCTATTGGCCTGGGAGAAGCAGAAGATGGCCCAAATTTGGGCTCCTGCCACTCACATGAGGACCCTGCTGCTCCTTCTCTCCCCCCTCCCCTCACTGTGGTGAGCCCCAGCTTCAGCCTAGTCCAACACTAACTGTTGTCATCTGCAAAGATCTACCTTTTACTAAAAATTAGTTTACCTATTTAAAAAAAGCCTGCCTTTTCACTCCAAGTACTTTGTACATTAGAAATGCTTCTTTTTTCCCACAGGCAGCAGAGGTACTGTTTACTTGTAATATCAGTCTTTTTACCTTGCTATACTTTAGAATTGGGTTTGACTGCCTTCCTGTTCATTGTCAAAACAGTATTAAACCTAGGCAGTGGAGTTCTATTTTTCCTTGCAAATCTAAGTCTACCATGTGGCATAGTAACACTGCTGAATGACATGGTCTTTACTGGTTTCATTATATCCCTATGGTTTGGTTTTGAGTTATTGGTAGTTCAATGTGATCATGATATAACTTAAGATAGGCAAGTGCAAAGAAAGCCACAGTAAGTATCACATGCTTGTCTGAGTGCTTCCCATTTGATCTAACGTTTCTCAACCACAGTACTACTGGCGTGTGGGCTGAGTTGTTGTGAGACTGCTGTCCCATACATTGTAGGATGTTTATTTGCATCTCTAAATTGACAACCCAAAATATCCCCAGAGACTGTTCAGTCTCTTCTGTGGAAGGAAATCCATCACAAGGTAAGAACTGAGCTCCAGCAGAGCAGACTGCATTCCTTAAACCATTGGCACTCCACGTGGGGTGTGCAAAGCAGTGTTCTGCCATCACCTGAACGTTGGTTTCAGTCTTGTAGCAGACTTGGTACAAAAACTGAGAATTTCCTACAGTAACCTATGAATTTTATTCTTTGCCAAGTGGCGCTATCTTCCGTTCCTTTGAGTGCTGCCGCAGGTTACCTACTGCTGTCTCTATGCTTTTAGGAATCTCACTTGATGGTATTGGCAGGACAGGACTATACAGTCTACCTGGAATGACTACTCCCCTGTTTCGCATTTAGAGAATAAATCTGGCATTGCTTTAGGTTGAAATCTGGCATTGCTTTAGGTTTAGCAGTAAGACTCTCATTCTCAAAAAAGTTTTATTTTAATAGAAAAGCTAAAGAACTTTCAAAGTATCTCTGGTTTTACACATTCTATGTAGGATGTCATAAAACTATGTATTTGGGGGGATGGAGAAAAAGGCTGTTTGAAGGGTGACAGTTTAGAAGTTGAGACAGTAACTTCTGTAGTAGTCTTGCCAGTAACTTACATCTTTAAGTTACTTGATAAACAGTACAAGGAGAGCATGCCAGAAGTCACCAATGTGGAACATAACCAGAAAAGCTCCAGGAGTTAAATGGTGATCAGGAAACTGCTTCCTCTGCGGCAGTCAACAGAAATAACAGAACAATGAAGCTGTTCTGGGCAATTATATAGACAACTAGCTTTCTTCCTATTTCTAGTGTTTATAGGTTTCCAAGAGATGGGGAAATCTTAGATGGCAATATATAACCTAAATCATGAGTTTTGTTCACTTGCAAAAGGTTAATTTTCACTTGTATCAAAATTCACATAACTGTTTAATACCTTTTCAAAGAAATAATTTTGTAATTTATGTGGTTTCCAGTTACTAACTTAAAACCCAGCACCTTTACTGATACCCCAAAACTGAATCTTATTTAACATTCCCCTAGTTATCTAAAGCACAAAATTAATACTAGAATAACCCAAATCTAACCAACTTTTTTTTTCCATAGGAAGGCACACGGAAAAGGCAAAAATATTATAAATCTCAAGAGCTTTTGCATGAAGTAAACAATGTCCCACAAAAATCGGGCTGTCTCCAATTCCCAAATCCATTTTATGAAACCCATGAAGAATGCACCGGTCCAGGTAAATTCAGCAAGTCTGGATCTGCGTCCTGGGATACGTACCCTTCCACATCTGGGATGGGAGTCAGTGATGTAGACAGTTCTACAGGTGTCTGGTCTATGCTTTCCCAGCTGACTCTTAGTGACGAGGGAAAGGCAGAGGTGTACTATTACGGCTTCATCATCATTCTGCTGCTGGTGCTGGTATGTCTTGCTTTGTATTTTCTCTAAAGATGTCAAATAAAGTCTTTTGGTAATTTTTAGTTTCTGGCTCTTCGCAATACACTTTTATTTCAAGATTTCTTCCCAGACAGTTTCAAGGTAATTGGCTTAAAAAGAAAGAAGTGCATTAATAGTTGGTGAATATAAAGTTGCTTTATACTCAAAATGGTTTCATGGTAGGGTTTGGGAAATACTTTAATACTTCACAACATGTAGGAAATCTAATTTTGATCTAAGGAAATTTGGAAATGAAACTCTAAAATAATTATGAGTTTCAGACCTTTTCAGATAAATTTTACTTGAATCCTGGTACCAGAAAACCCAAAATTTCCATTTGTTAGAGAACTCACAAAGTTCATATTAAAAAGAAATGGTTTCCAAGTTTTTGCACCCAAATAATTAGCTTGTCTTCCACTTTTTGTAGAAATCTCTTCCTGTTTTTGAAATGTGATTAATAATTTCCTTACCTTACTACAATATGGACATTCACCAAACATGATGTTACAACTCTGTCTACTGGTGAGCAGGCCTCTCAACCACTGCAGATTTAAAAAGAAGGAAAGGAAGCAGGTCAGCCTGCCTCTTTGATAATACGTATATTAACTCACGAAATATAATCCTTAATATGTTGAATAACAAGGGAAATGAACATGAAATCTGAAATTTAAAACCCAATTATGGGCCCTTTAAGAATCTTCTACTCCCAAAACAGACATAAAATAATGCATTCAACTTCCTGGTGTTCATAAACCTTCCCCAGATTCATTAATCAAGAGTTGATGTCAAAGATATTTTAAAATCTCACAAATGTAAGTCTTAATTGTGGTACTAACTCACTGGTTGTTTCCAAGTATTAATTACAAGCATGAGGTAATCATTAATAAATAAAAAGTCTAATTTCTTCAACAAAGCTACATGCATGTTCCCTTGGAATATGTTGGTCAAGGTGGTGTTTTATGATTGTCTGTATACGGCAATCTGATTGGTCTTACATTTTGCACTGGTAAGGAGCAGAGAACAGTGGTGATACTGTCTAAGCACAAGAGGGGACGGACTGTGCAGCAACATGAAGCACATAGCATCTTGAACAAACTGGATGACAGGGGATTTTTAGTAACTAAATGAATTTTAGACTTGGCATTTTAAATATACCTTTTATGTTGTGTTAGCTGAACAGTCTTGCTAGTGTTGAGTTACTTTACCTCATACAGACATATCTGATGAAATGGTTGTCCACACTGGGGATTATCACACACTTGATCCGGAATGACACCATCAAGGTGATAGGCGTAACAGATCCCACAATCCATAGTAAAATCCTTAAGAAAAAATTTCATAGAGGAACCTGAATTGCTGTATTATACAAATAATCATATCACATAGCTGACACCTAACAAAGCTGTTATGTGTTTACAAAATTACTAAAAAGCATTATATTTGTGGCTAACAATGTAAAGGCAGAATCGGCATTAGCCAGTGATAAATGTTCTACAAGAAAACCCAAAATGAAAATGTCGCCAACAATTAGCAGCTCTGTCAAATCAGCTACAAGGTCAGTATCTTTGCAGTAGTGCAGTGTAGTCATTTTCCCCACTTTTATCAAGCCCATTAGAAACTACAGAAAATGCAGACATGTTTTTGTTAATGTCAGGAATCACTGGAGATCATGTAAAGTGCACACTTGGAACCACCAAAGGTGAACAGGTCCTTTGATGCGACAGCCTTTACATGCGACAGACTGCTGTGATAGAAAAGGTGGGAGTTGCAATACTAAGAGTATTTAGATGAACTTACTTTAACAGGTTTGGACTGTCAAAGCAATGATAAAACTTACAGATTTTTCCAGGGTGGCACGAGCTGGAAAGTCAATTTCTAAAACATCTTTTAAATTTTGTAATAGGCTGTTTTCTGGATTCCTGAAGGCATAAAAAGTATAAACTTCTACTATTAAATTTGAAAAACTGTAGCAAAACACAAAGACATTGTGAAAATACCTACCACAAATGTATGTTCCTGCTCAACTTAATTCCCAGGGGTTTCACCACTTTAAATAGAAAACAAAACACAGTTTAATTTAGGATTTGATGCTGTCATTTGTGATGCACACTTAGGTACAAAGCTTGTTTCTTATCTGCTTCATTAGGGGTAGGGGAAAGGGAGACGCCAGCACCAACTAAACTATTTTAAAAGACAGCTGAAAATGTTAATACTTGACAGAGCCTATCACTTCTAACACATACACACACACATCACTAAATTATCTGAGGATTAGGGCCTTTCCATGTAAAACAACTGCCATTGACATAATATTCAGATTTCCTACCATGGTCTGCACCAAGAAAGCAGCATTCAGGAAGCATAGTAGGATGCCTGGGGTCTACCTCTATGTTTATGGAAACGTTATTTCCTAGAAAGAAAGCAGGGCAGGTTTCAGAAGCAAAACAGTGTCATCAAACAAGCCAACAAACAAGGCTGTTCAGGCCAACCACCTTTTCTATTGTATAGCCAAAGAAATATTTCACTTAGATAATTTATGGGTAAACAGAAAGATCTGATAAACAAGTACCATGAATATAAGCACTTTCAGATTTTCTTCACATGAATCTTTTCCTTTGGGAGTTAAAAAAAAATCCAATTCACATTAAATTAGCATTATTGGGGTCAACACAGAGGCACAGCAAGCTAATCTTACACTCTCTGGCATCCTATATGGGCACAAGTTCATGTCCTGCCTGCTCCACTTCTGATCCAGTTCCCTGTTAGGGCCTGGGAAAGCAGCAGCAGAAGGCCCAAGTTCTTGGGTCTCTGTACCTATATGGGAGTCCCAGAATTAGAGTCCTGTCTCCCAGTTTCAGATCAGGTCAGCTCCAGCCATGTGGATAGTGAACCATTAAATGGAAGACCTCCTGTCTGTAAAGTCTTCCTTTCAAATAAAAATTTATAAAAATTGAAATTCAATTTAAAAAGCAACAATATAGTTTACAAAATGTGTAAAGCTATTTTTATTTGGTATTTAGATTCTTTTAAAAATTTTAAATTGTACAAGAATACAGTAAAAGGTTTTACTACTTTAAAGTTTGTAATATATAATCCACTGGCTCTCACTTTTATGGTAAGAATGACTTGATAAGCTCTATCAATGTAAAATAAACCTTTTGCTAGGGGTGGTGATAATGGAATTATAAACAAAAAAATGGCCATTCAATGAGAAAAATACAGAAGTTATCTAAATGCTTTCTTTACCATAAATACAAATTTCTTAAACCAATGCTATAATTCACTTAACAATGAGTTTACAATGATTATATAAACTGATGTTTCCATTACTTTATTTAAAACTTGGCCCAAAGGCAACAAATAATCCTTGAAAGGCTGAGCAGGGAGGGGTTAAAGGACAAACTACTAAATGCAAAAATTATGCTAAAAATGTGGACTATAAAGCACACTTATCATAACTAGATAAACTATTAAAATTCTCCAAAGAAAATATTTTCATTTTTAATACCTACTTATTCACAAATATACCATAATTTGACTAATTATTCCAAATACTATTAACTATTTCAAACTGTGAAAGTAGCAATATTTGTAGAACTGCTGTATAATTATACTTCTTTCTTTTCATAATAACATGCCACTTGTTCCCCCTAGATAATACATTGTGCCTGTGTAGATAATACAAAAATTGCTCACTACTTTGGAGATGAATCCCATCACAATTTCACCATATCAGAATATATGCCTTTCAACAATGTATTAATTTAGAATGGGGCGAAAAAGAAATAGTTACCTTAAAACCAGCTTTGCTAATAAATGTGAACTCAACTTATTAATAAATTATCTAAAATTCTGAATGGCTGAACTCTAATTTGTTTTGCTGATCATAAAAAAATTAACTTTAAAATCAACACTATCTAGTAACATTATAGGCATACTGATGAGTACATCAAAGTAGTAAGATACAATATACCCATCAAAAAGAAAACAGAATGTGATTTTGTGCTTTGTTTATTCTTCAACACATGGTTCTCAGTGACATTTTTTCTTCTCTAGGATTTTGTAAAAAAAAAAAAATCCCAAATATTTTTTTAAGGATGTGGGTGGAAGAGAGATGTGGGAGTTGGGGGAGTCAAGCACCTCATTCACTGGTTCACTCCGCAAATGGATGGCATCTAAGGTCAGAATTGAGCCAGTCAGAAGCCAGGAGTTTTTTTCAGGTGTCCAATGTGAGTGCTAGGACCCAAGAACTTGCATCATCCCCAAGTTTGTTGTTTGAGGTTACACAAGTTTGTGTAACTTGTACTGTTTTGGTCCTTAAAAGGCAGAGTGGACACTGAGGGCTTCACATGCCCAGATCCCAGGTCGGATGTCTGGCTCCTGACTCTGGTTTCCGGATAATGCAGACCTGCACACGCAGTCGCGACTGGCTCAAGTAACCAGATACCTGCCATCCACATGGGACAACCAGGATTCATTTCCAAGCTCCCAGCCTTGCTGTTGAGGGTGTGTAGGCTTCTGGGGAAGAAGCCAGCAAGTGAAAATTACCTGTCCCCATCTGTGTCTCAAATATTTCCCTATTAAAAACTGATTAAACACTGTCATTAAATGTTAGCTCACTAGAATCACTATCTTCTACAATGAAACACTTTAGTACTTTTCCATTTCACCTAAAATGCTTTCTTTAAATATGGCAATAAAAAGAATCATTTTATAACAAAGCTTTAATACCCAATTTCATATAAATAAATCTCACCTAGCAATTCAACTCATCTTTACATTCAGTTTCCTATGTATTATTAAATAAATCAAACACTAGAAACAAACAACTGGAATGCTTTTTGCCTACCTATTGCAATTCTGCGTGCTGTTGCACTCCGTGGAGGTTTTTCTGGCTCAAGTACCCAGGTCTTCTCATCGATTTCATCCATAACATCCCAAAATGTCTTCAGTGAGTCCAATGCTGCCAAAAACTGACTATGAATACTTACTAAAGAGCTCTGTGGAAAGATGAAAGCTAAGTTACATGGCATTCTCCCAATAGCAGATAATCGCTCAAAATACACTCAAGGAAAGCACTTTAAGCTGTTTCGTTTCAGCTGCAAAAAGACCACAGAAAGTAACATCTCTTCCTGCTCCTCCTAACTTCCATTAACAGAATGCTTTATTTTTAAATCGTCAATAGACTATACCTTTTTGAGCAATAACATTTAAAACCATATTTACATTGTACATGATGTAATATTAGAGAATATAAATTACTACTACAAGATAGGTAAACATACTTTTGTATCTAATACATCCAGCCTGACTAGTTTTAAAGATTATTATTTTTTTATTGGGAAGGCGGATATACAGAGAGGAAAAACAGAGAGGAAGATCTTCCGTCCGATGATTCACTCCCCAAGTGAGTACAACGGCTGATACTATGCCAATCCGAAGCCAGGAGCCTCTTCCGGGTCTCCCACGCGGGTGCAGGGTCCCAAAGCTTTGGGCCATCCTCGACTGCTTTCCCGGGCCACAGGCAGGGAGCTGGAAGGGAAGCGGGGCTGCCGGGATTAGAACCAGCGGCCATATGGGATCCCAGGTGTGCAAGGCAAGGACCTTAACCACTTGCACCACCACGCCGGGGCCCCAGCCTAATTTTAAAAGGAAATAACCCCCCCTGTGCCTATAAAACTGTATCACATGATACAATGTTAATAACAATAAAAAAAAAAACAAAATAACCTTAGCTTCATTTTTGCTAGAACTATCAGCGACATTTATAATTTTATTAACTTATTTTAAGGGATAGCTTTGTGGACCTAATTACACAGAAAGTATAAACTTTTTTTTTTTCAGTTTTTAAGAATCCCAACAAATTGTAAATGATTTTTGTACAACTTTCAATCAATGTGGAATATTTTCAGACAATAATCCTTTGAGAATTAGTTTACATGCATTTTCACTAAATATTAAGTAAAACCATCACAGGTTTAAAAAAAATCAATTTACGTTAAAGTCACCAATTTCTCAATGTGATGTTTAAAAGATACATTTATTGGATTGTTCTTTTTCCATTATTTAGAGATAATTGTGCAAAAAGCAAAACAGTTTTTAATTAAGGGATTTGTTGATTCAAGTAAGCAAAACACAAGACATTCAAAGTAAATGACAAGTCAGCAATGAATGAACATAATGTAACATGATGAACATAATGTAATGAGCAGATCTTATGCAAGATAAAAGTACAGTAGCTCCATCAAACATGTATTTTTACCTGCTTGATTATGGAAACCTCATTCTGTATTGTTACCTCAGTCGGGCTGACACTTAAGATGAATTCACTGAGCTGTACTCAACCCTTTCACCTTCACCAGAAACCAACCAACCAACCAACCCCAAGTGCAGAACCTACAGCTTGCTTCACGTTGGAAAACAACCTATAAAGGTACTGAAGGTAGAAAATCTGTTCCTTGCTAGAGTGCCATACCTACAGACAGAGAGGACGGAGGCCAGAATTCAGAGCTCTGAACTCCAGAAGGGCTAGTCTGTATCCTCTCTCCTTCCCTCCATCTCTACGTGTGCACATCTCTACAAGTGTAACTCTGAATTCCTCTCCTTCCCTGTCCCACAAGATGTAGTCCTCCTCTCCCCAGCAGAATCATGAAATGTTCTCAATAGAATCAAGATTTGACTTATTTGAAGTTAAGTACCTCCAAACATGTGGTTCATTTCTATTAAGCATAATTACCATACGTAGGTTGAACCAGACTATTTTTTTTCTTTTTTAATGAGAAAAGGATGGCAATAGACACATCAATCCTAAAACTAAAACTTCTTTGGTAATTAAAGAAAAAGTTTCCAACTATTTCAAGACAGAATGAAAATTTTCAAATGTTGATGAGGACACAGGGTGGGGACTCTTCTGCAAAAAGTCACTGAGTATTTCTAATATCATTCATAGGATACACAAAATGAACAGCTTAAAAATTAGCCTGGTACAGACTGGCTGAATTTCCACTGCCACCTCTGGTTGCCTTGGCAGGGCTGAACCACAAGAGTTTGCAAGCTTTCCAGGCCACACAGGCTAGCTGTTGCCCACCGCTTAAAGTACCCGAACACTCACATGCTGTTGGTAGGCATGGCAAAGGGCGTAACTGCTTTTGAAAAGATTGGGCAATTTGTTTTCAAGCTAAAGATATTCTTGTATCACAACCTTACACTTCTACCCTGCCCCCAGAGTAAAAATACATTTTCATAAAAGGGCCTGCAGATTGAACTACCAGTCCAACATGTCGAAGAAACAGTAAGCCCTGGTATATTCATGTACTGGAATACTACTCTGAAATAAAATGGAATCAAGTACTGACACAAGACACAGCATGGGCATTTTTTTTTTTAACATACTGACTGAAAGAAACCTACATACAAAAACACTGATTTGTTTACATAAAATCTGGGACAGACAGCCGCTGCTAAGCTATGGTAAGAATGAAGATTTACTGAAAAGGGTGAGACCCTGAGAGGATGATAATGATCTGTGTCTGGAGTATGGCTTGCTTCCTGTTTGGGTCCCAGCTCCACTTCCAAATCCAGCTTCCTGCCATCCTTCGGGGAGACCTGCACTAAATCCTGGGTTCCTGGCTTTGGCCTGGCCCATCCTGGCTGTTGCAGTCATCTAGGGGAGGGAGTGAAACTTTCAAATAATCTTTTTAAATTAAAGAACGTATTACATGATACCTTTAGGATAATACTTTTTTTTTTTTTTTTTTTTTTACAAAGAACTGAACCGTAGGTCAAGACTGTGAATGCCCACACTTTAGACCAGGTGTTCTGATACTGCCAGATCACTTCAGAAAACACCAAAAAATCCACTGGATTTATGCATAGATAGAATGATCAATAAATGGTAAGATATGTAGTAAAACAAATGTAGTGAACTACAGTAGAACATATGCACAGATGCATATTCATCACAGGCTTTTTCAATGTTTCTGGAAACATTAGAGAATAAATCTAAAATAATATCAAATGAATTATACAAATTACTTGTGAGCTTTTTACTATAACTTAAAAAGTTAATTAGAATATGTTTTCCAGGTGATGTTAGATATTTTCTTTTTCCAGATATTCAATTGGCTTTTTATATAATCAAAGTAATTTAAATCTCTCTACTTATACTAAATAGCACATGTAAAACCTTCTGCAAAACAACTGCCTCTTTCTATTGAAGACCACTAAGTACAATCAAGTGATATCTGACATGTCTGATGTGTATTTTTTTTTACATTTTTTATGTATGTGTTTTTCAGTTCATTTGAAGGGCATTTACAGATTCTCCATCCTCTAATACACTCCCCAAATAGCCACAACAGCTGAGTCCAGGTCAGGCACAAGCCAGGAGCCTGGAACTCCACCCAGGTCTCCCTCACAGTGATCAGGAACCCCAGTACTCAGGCCATCACCTAATGCTTTGTCAGGATGCACAACAGCAGGCAACCAGAACCAGGCAGGACAGCTGGGACCAGAACTAAACACACAGACACCCTAAGGACGTAGGCACGACAAGCAAAGCTTATGGAAATGCCTCCCCCGGGACAGGCATTCTCAGCCAGGGAATTGTAGCAGGTTTTAGAAGAAATTTCACATCTCCAACTTTCAAGTGAAATTAATCCTTTCCTCTAACTACAGACTGAGATAACAAACCTTAAAATTACTATTAGTACCTGTACCATTCTGTTTTAGAAACACCACAATGATATTACCTAAGAAAATCAAACATTAATAGACAGCCCCTAATCTCAGTCATTGCAGTTCAACTCATCTTGGCTCAGAGCAAGCCTCTAGTTCTGGGACTTTTCCAAGCTTCCCAAGCAATTCTAACATGCAGACAAGTTTGAGAACTACTAGTGTAAAAATGAAAAAAAAAAAAAGTCATGCTTATGATCAAATATTCTAAGAGTCAAACTTCAAGCTTCAAGCAGTGCAGTTTTTAAGAACAGATTAAAAACATCCTTAAAGAATATTTATCATAAATTGAGACAGAGGATATATTATGAGGTTTTAAGCATGGAACCCATTAGGCCTGTGCAGGGGTAGAAATCATTTGGTCCAGCCTTGGAGGCAACCAAAGGCTGGACTGAAACTTCTAAATCTACAACATTCTTATTTTTAAGACGATAGTTTTGTATGGTTTACAAATGTTATTAATGTCCATATGGCCCTTTGGCTTAAAAATTTTCCCCATCCTGTATTATTAAACTTACTGAATATTTTTAATTTTTGATTTTAAGATGAAAAATTAATTTTGACTAAAATAGTCTATTTGTAACCATATTCAGCACACCATGTGGGTCAAACATTAAAGAATGAACACAAGTTTTCATTTAAGTCATACCAAATTATCCAATATTAAATAAGCAAATACTAACTAAACACATAATAGCCTAATACAATTCAATCCAGCACTAAGTAATAGGTCCTATTTTATATGCTGATGGTATGTAGAGCCTCAATGAAGAGGTGAGCATTATCAAAGTCTGACAGAACCTTGATCCATGCTTTTAATCTATTACAGAATAACCAGTTGTAGTTCTGCTTGAATTTGTTTCCAAAACTGTATTCTAGTCCTTCACTGGTTCCCACTATGGTTTAAAACAAAAGCAAGTTTTTATAATTTTTTTTCCTTCATCATACTTTTCCATAGTTTTTATAATATATGACCTTTTGTAATCATAAAAATAGGAACAAATTAATCATACTACAGGCATCTTTATAATAATGTACTATGCTGAAAATATAAATTAAATTGAATAAAACTACTATTTTCAAACGTGGCAGCACAGGACTACGGTAGCATTCTCCGATAAAGATCAAAGCACCCAATTTGCAAGATCACCGCTCTAATCTTCACAGAACCTGAGCCTTACCAAGACGTATATTCTCAGCTGCTCTACACTTTGCCTCTATAGATGTGGGTGTGCATTGAGTATCTTCTAAAGTGACACAAAGCTCT